ATCATTCTTGGCTTACCATTCCGTGAAGCAATTGATATGTGGTCGTTAGGCTGCGTTATAGCAGAGTTGTACCTTGGCTGGCCTTTGTATCCTGGCAGCAGCGAATTTGATCAAATCCGGTATATTGTGCAAACTCAGGGACCTCCACCGTTGCAAATGCTTTCTACGGCTGCAAAAACGCATCGTTTCTTTAAGCAGGCATGATTGGGCTATCTCTTTTTTTTTTCCGATGAATTTAAGCCCTGTTGCCGAAGAGGCCGAGAACGTGTGTCGGCTCAGAGTGGGTTATTCCGGTAACATCGGTGAGACGGGTTTTCATCACCGATTTTCCGGGCGACTTTGGCAATTAAAAATACTGCTTCGGATTTAGCGTGAGCTTTGTCGGTATAACGTAAACAGATCCGTTTTTAAACATAGATTTATCGCGGTGTGTTGCATATGGTCAGTGAACCAGTCGTTCAAAATCCCGTCTCACTCGTAGAGCTTGCTTGTTGCTAGCACTTCCGTTGTGCCTAATCGAGTGCAGTGGTCGAGATTTGTTGAAATTAGGGTGTGTCTATTTCATCTCGTTTGTGCCCGGGGAGCTCCCAGAGAGTTCGTTTATAAAAATCGTTACGGAAAGATAAAATACTGAAAGTGTTATTTGGCAAGGGTTGGGAAAAGTGGCATGAATTTGTCCCTCTGACGCTGAGGAAGTGGCATTTTTCCTTCCACTGTAGAGGAAGAGTTGATGAAAAGTATGTGTATGTAATTCACAAGCTGCTTGATCGACATCTCAGTGTTGAGCGGAGCTGAGAGAATGATGTTTCAAATGATACATTCCAATCACATAGCAAACAGTTTGTCCCCTTAACTTTAAGCACATACAAGACAGCGCCTGGGGGTAAGAGTGAAAATGATCAGTACAGCCTCCTATCCGCAACGACACTAACAGCGTGGTGCTTTATTGTCCTGTCGTTGCACGACCTGGTTCCTGCCGGTACTGTGTGCGCTTTGAAGGTCGATGTTGACCATTGTCGCTCGCCTGGTGTTACAGTTCTTGTCGGCGGTGTTGCCCGTGACTGAACGAAATGCCGTTGAAGCTGAAAGCACAACAGACTGAAGGAAGGGGTCTGAAAACGAGCGCATCGGAAGCAGTGAGGCAAAGTGCCAGTAAGCGCATGATCGAACTGCGGCGGGCTTGTCACGGCATGTGCTTCGGCCGCGAAGCGAAGAAGGACCGAAACGTTTTAACTCTACTGTCTTTCCCACAGCTTTTCTCCTACTATTTTTCTCCTCTGTATATACACTTCCCTTATTTTGGCACCCCTCAACATGGATGCTACAAACGGCATGCATAATATCCTACAATCGGTCACTGCATGTTGAGGGGCTTCCAGCTAGCGCACATCTGAGCCCTGCTTCTCCATTCCCCTTACCCGCTTTTCTTCAGTACTGTGTTGAGTGAAATGGCACAGCAGAGGTGCTGACACGCTGCTTGTGCTG